ATGCAGGTTTGGGGGCATGTTCTTGAGATCAGTTAAAGCTTGTGCTCTAGGATGATTTGAAGGGTTTAATTCATAAGCAATACACAAAGCTTTCCTGACCTTGGGGTATACAGAGATCACAGCCAAAGTAGTAAAACTGCACAAGAAAACTACTAAAACATCTCAAGGAAACTGTGAAGAGCAAGGTCAAATTTCCCACCCCTTTTTGTCTTCCTATTGCAAGTAGTGCGCTAGGATGTTTTCTTTACCTTTTAAAGCACAAAGGTCAAAGAATCATCAATGCCTTCTGGCTATAGATGGCAAAGTCATCAGGTGACTTCTCTGAAGAAAAATAATCGGTAACACCCCATCTGACTTTTTTTGGCACTTTGTTCTGGTTTCTACTTCTGGTATTTTTCTTTGATAGCAGAATCTGTGTCTTCACATCATCATTGTCCAATGTCAAAAAGCAAACCTGTATTGCCCTCTCTGAGTTCAACCAGTTCTCACAAGAATGGTGTACTCAGCTCATCAATTGGTCCTCCAGTTTTTTGTTTTTTGTTTTTTGTTTTGTTTTGTTTTGTTTTTATTCAATAAGTTTTCTTCAGAGCCAAGCATGTGCTGGTCACTGTGCTGGGTGCTTCCTGCCTGCCCTGGGGAGTTCATAGCCTGTTTCAGGACCGTGTGCTTGTGAACAAACAATTGCAAATACAGTTTGAAAATAGTTTCAACAGTAATCTACGGGATGGCTGTGAATTTTGAAGCTCCCTCTAGTCAACGGCGTTGAGAAAGAGCAAGGTGAGGATTAGAGCTTCGAGGGAGAATGACACTGGAGTAGAATTTTGCAGGACAAGGAAGAGTTCCCAGGAAGACACGGAGGAGCAAGGCAGAAAAGGCATTCAGAATTTCTATAAACTTGTGTGAACTATAAAATCAATCAGAAGTATGTATTCAGAAATGATATCAATGGCTTTTAAAATCTTCAGAATTTATATTTATGTTGTTTGTTTGTTTTTGTTTTTGTTTTACGGACTATCAGGATCAGAAATTCCAACACACCTTCCTTTATAGCTATGATAATCAAGCAGTTTATTTTTTCATCTGACCACACTCACTGGAGGGTGAAACTGATTGGGATCTTCTCTAAATTTAATGGAGGCAGCAACTCTGGCTTTTTTCAGGGGTCCAATTTTCATTCTGTGACTTTTCTTTTTAATCTTTTTCTGGGCCCCTTTTGATGCCTTTTTCCACAATTTCAAAATGTGAAGTAAATTTAGAGGCAGCAATAAGCTGGTCTGCTACTATGTTGTACACTGTATAACACTTTAGAAGGGCTGATAATGATGTCTAACACTTTTCATTGTTGACTTTTAGGTAAAATCTTGCCCTACATTTATCGTGTGGTCTTGGGCAAATAAAATTAGGCCTTAGTTTCTCCATCTGAAAAATAGGCATAATACAATAACTACCTCATAAGGATGTTATGTGGCTTCACTGTGTTGATTTTTGTGAAGTGTTTACAACAGTGTCTGGCACAAAAGAATTGCTAAGTCAGTGATCACTAAATAAAACATAGGTCCTAGCACTTATTTAGCATATGATTATCCAACTTAGCTTATTTTTGTCATAATTTTGATTGTTCATTGTATTGCTTCAAATATAACCCACTGGCTGTGTTTTCCCCTGCTTTGATATAGATCAATCTCAACTATCACTATGAATATAATTTTTGTGTTTTAATGTATTAACAACTTATACTTAGAGCCAATTATTTTTAATTCATTATCCATATTATACAATACATTTTAAATTATGTCGCCCGGGGCTGGGGATTCAGCTCAGTGGTGCCACCACCTGCCTCGTAAGTACAAGGTCCTGAGTTCAATCTCCAGTACCAAAAAAATTAAAAAAAATTAAAATATTTTTAAAATAAATTATGTTGCCAGGTTTTCTTTCTTAGAGAAGACTGACATTTGCTTTTAAATTCCTCTGATTTTTAAATTTTAAGGACTGGCTCCTCTCTTCTTATATTTGTTTTCCTCACTTGCCCTTTATGCTTTTCTTTGGTACATTGGTATTTTTTCAAATTTTCCAGCTGTGCATTTACTAAGCACCCATCTTTAGTTTTTTGGGGGGAGGGGATAAGGCAAGTGGAAGTAATTAAATAAAATTTAAACTGCATATATTTTAAGCAGTTACCAGTCTTGGCACCAGGCTATCTGCTGGGAATACAGAGATGTGATGTGTATTGGTTAGTATTTGTTTTGGCTGCTATTAACAAAAATTTAACTCTAGGACTTAAACTCACTCAGTTTTATTCACTTGTGTAAAATAAGACCAAAGGTAGGTACAAGAAATGGGAGTTTGAAAAAGTCATCAGGGACCATAGAGTCCTTCTCTTCTGGTTTGATTTTTACTATGAAGGTCATTTCATAGTCCAAGATTGTTGCTGAAACATCAGCTGCTACATCATATCTCAGGTGGTAGGGTGAAAGATGGAAGTAAAAACAAAAATATATATGTATCTCTTTCCCTTAAGGAGTCTTCCCAAAATTGTCACTTAACAATCCTGCTCATATCTTATTTGCCAGAACTCAGCTGTATTCCTAGCTGCAAAAAAGGCTGGAGATATAAACTTTTACTGATTTATTCATTCATTCATCTATAAAGTCAGGATTTGTGTGCTAAAAAAGGAGGAGGGATGAATGAATATTAGTGTTCAACTAGCAATCCTGCTACAAAATGACATGATTTAGAGTTCAGTGGTAATGACAGGCAAATAACTAAGATACAGTGAAATAAGTGCTAGTCAGTTTTATGTAAAGTTATTGGTATCCTCTTTTTATTTCCATTTATTGATATTATTCAGTCTTCCAAAAAGATCTTCTCACCTCTTCTTGACTTAGGCTTCCTTTTTCCCTCGTGTAGTCTCTGCCATCTCCCAGCTGAAGGCACCAAAGAATATGGCTTGATCCGATTCCCCAATGGGCAATCTCCATTGATTTTCAAGGACTAATGTAAGTGTGTGCAGCACCTACAAGTCACAAAGCCACTTGAGAATAGGGAATAGGCTTTGGTTATCTTGAAAAATAGACTGTGCTTTGCTTGGGAAGTGCTCTATGGCTGCTGGCAGGATGACTTCCTGTTCTTGAAAGTGTTCTTAAAGGACCATTTAGCCCTTGAAGACCTGTCACTGAAGAATGTCCACCTTAGGTCATTTCTACAAACATAGAATGAGTTTCCCAATTCTGGTCCCATACTTTCACCAAGTAGCATATAACTCTATAAACATACCCTTTAACCTCTCCAGACTTCATTCTCCTACTGTTTATGGACAAAAATAAAACTGATACTAATATTAATTTAATGTTTCTTTAAAGATCTCAAAATCAGGAATTAATTGTAGAAATTTCTTTTCCATTTAAGGAAAAAATTACATAAATATACAATACAGATTTTTTTTTGCAGTAATTATAATACCCTAGTGAAACGAAATAAACTAACAGATGTGAAAAATGTTTGGAAAAGTTATTACAGGATATTTAATATATGGTTTTATTTACATAAATTTATGTAAACATATATGGTTACATACTATTTATGTTAATAATTTTTTCACTAGAATTTCCAAACAAAATAAAAGGCAGTAGTTTCCGTTCCTGAAGTTGGGAAAAAGTTACTCACATGAAACTTCTACAGAATATTTCACTGCAGAATATAATGATAAGAATGATAAAGGATCTATATTGACCAGAGAAGTAGGTTGTAAAGGTTAAGGAAGATTTTAGTTGAAAAGTCTAGTTGAAGTTTGAGAGTTTCAGAATGTAAAATTTGTTTGTAAAATTCATTGTCAAAATAAAATATTTATAACAGAAAAAAGTAAAATTTATGTCATATCAAAAAGTCACAGAATAATTTCCTATTTATATTCACATGTATACTTTCTTGTCTCACAAGGAATGAGTTTGAAAACTCAAATAACTCCATTTCAAAAGTCTTCTACATAGTACACTCTGATATATCCACTCCTAACGCGCCTAAGGACAGAGCAAAGAAAATTCACACTGATAAGATGAACAACTTGTTCCCAGCATCTTAGAAGATTTCTTTTTAAATTAACTGTAAGACAGGAAGCTGTAATGAAAAAAATAATAATCAGCCTTTGAAATATCTTAAAAAAGAGAACAGCCTCTTCTCACCCTTGGCCAACATTTCTGGTTGGCTTATACAATAGCTATTCCTTCCCTTAAGTCCCAGAAGGACTTGTTTTCCAGACATACCAGAGTAGCTCCTTGCTCCTTTGTCCTGCCTAGACAAGGTGATGGTCCACTTGAGTAATACTCTGTGCAGAACCGAGTTGTCTTTCATATGTGAAGCTATTAGAAAGTCTTAGATGAAAGTATATCACCGTGCTGCTTTAAATAAATCCAAAATTGCATGAGCATACTATGCCTAGAGTCATCTTTATCAATGAGAAACCCAGTATGAATTCCACCAGTGACTTCTATTACAGAATAAAGATATTTTTAGAGGCAAAAAATTTCTAAAGTCAAAATATCTGTTGAAGAACCCAGTCAATATGATACCTAGCCTAAAAGCAGAAAATATGAATGCAGTTCACAGGTTTGAACCTCCCCTTAAATCAAAACTTCATGGGAGAGATTTATGCAGACTTCCAAAGTGTTGTATCCACTTTGCTGAGCTGTCCCCTAGCTGGGTATAGGGGATCCCTCTCTACCAGAAGACTGTATTTTAAGCTCCTCCTTACAAAGTGACTTATTTGGTAAGCATGGTAGGGTAGATACAGTGAATAAGATCCATAATATATTTAGTAATCACAAAACTGTTAATTTTAATTTCTTTTAAAAGTAGGGAAAATAATATACTAATGAGTCCGTGCTATCTGTATTTATATTGATGCCACTGTAGCCATAACATTTTTAATTTTTGTGATTTTTTGTTTGTTTTTTCTGGTACCGGGGATTGAACTTGGGTCCTTGCACTTATAAAGCAGGCATCGGAACCACTGAGCTAAATCCCTGGCCCTTTTGTGATTTTTTTTAAGTGGAGGAAGATACCCACAAAGGTGAAAATGTCTAAGGCCCATGAAAGCCATAGTATGGTTGTGGCCTAGCAAGATAAACAAACCCTAATCAGCCAGGCAAAAATGCAGCTAGTCAAATTTAGCCTGATTCCCAAACTCAGCAGTTCTCTTCCTCCACTTCATGAGGGCCCTGGATTTATAGCGGGAGTTTCAGTCCTACTCTTACTCCAAACACCACTTCCTCTTTCAGTTCCACACAGGGCTGGACCCTGGATAATACAGCTCTGATGAAGAGAAATTTAAGGATACTAACAATTCAGTGTTCAACTACCCTTTGAAATACTTTCGTACTACAATTTAATTCCAAATTCTTTCTATAGAAGACATTGTTATATAGGACTGGTATTGAGGGCAAAGATTAGGTCTTGGGGCATGTTGGCTTTTTCATAAAACGTACATGATAAATATTAGATGGCTGGCTTGCTTATTACATGGATGGGTGACTGGGTGGGTAAATGGGTGGATGGATGAACAGATACTAAAAATCAGAAGCCATCTCCAGTTGCCTAAACCATTAAAGACCTAAGATAGTGTCAGCAAAAGTTTTCTGAGCTACATAGTAAATATTTGAGGTTTTCTGGGCTATATGGTCTCAGTTACAACTAATCAGTATGGATGTTGTAGTATGAAGAAACCACAGACAACATATAAATGAATGAATGTTGCTGTATTCCTACTGAAACTTGAATTTCATGTGATTTTCATACGTTACAGAGTCTTATGTTTTATTGGGGGGGCACTTAAAAATGAAAGAAACATTTGTAGCTAACAAGCTATATGAGAAAAGTTGGTGAATCAGAATTGGCTACAGGCTATAGTTTACTGACCTCTGACTTACCCTCTAGAAAGGGGCTCAAAATCGGCTTGCTCCAAATGAAAAGGCTACTTTTTCTACTAAGGAAACAGAATCATTGGAGATGCCTTTTCATCACTTTAACAGACTTTCATAAGTCAACCAAGGCTCCTCACAACTTGGACCACTGAATCAAGCTCCAAAGTTTCTTCATACTACGGTCAAAACTTCCTCCATCCATAATTCTGAGAGTCTGTCTCTTTTCTCAAAGCTTTTAGCCTTTATCATTCCAAGAATCCTGATCTACTCAGGCCAAATAGATTTGACATTTTACTCTCAGTTTAAATTAAACCCATATAAAATGAAACACATTCCCTTTTTTTCTATGTGAGCTCCCCATATTTTCTAAGCTATCCAGGTTTAAAACTTCAAGCATCTTAGAATTTCCCTTATCTACCACTTAGATTTGATTTTCCCTTCAACTACAATTTGGCTATCCCATCACAGGACTCAGAACACAGTCCAGAGTTCTACGTTCAACTCTTGCCATGAATAGGCCAAATGACCTCTGAGGTGATACCGCATTAAGATACACTCCAAAGATACTTTATGAATTTGGCAAAGGACTAAAGTGTGGTGAGCTAATAGTCTTCAGGAAACATGACATGCACTTAAATGACCTTAAAGAAATAAAAGAATCTAAACTTGTGGTTGCTGAATGACATACATACCTAGGATGGTCAGCCTGATTTCTTTTCTTTCTCTTCTTCAATGTCTTTTGTTACTCCAATTAGATCTTGTTATTATCTATGATGTTTTAAGGAGAACGCTGCTTTTAAAAATGTAGCCATGTCTTTTAACACCAGTAATTCACTAACCACTGAGGTTTAAGAATTTCTCTGTTTCAATGAAAAGCAACATACGATTCTCTTGATATGTGGCCTATCTAAAATGAAAGAGAATGGTCTGACAGCAAAAGAAGGTAATTTAACAAGAATTCCTGCGCTCTGTACTTGAGCCACAAACAGTCTTCATAAGGGCCTTGTGCACTTTTAAACTTTAATAACTCAGGTTGTGCGTGTTAGAGAAACAATCTAAACGGCACTCAAAAGTAAATGTATTAAAGTTTAGGACAACTACATTACACAATTGCACACAATATATACTCATTTCAGATCCTGTGACAAATGAAATATGGCCAGCAGAATTGAAGTTTATGACAGCTCTAAGCAGAAAATTGAATTTGCCTTTAAATTCCATTTACAGTTTACTGTCATGTCTACCGCGTATGGTTTTGGAGTTAAGTTTAAAAATGGCACAGAGACTTTATAAAGATCCTATACTTGAATTCAGCGATAAGTGTAGTTAGAGAGAACATCATACCATCTCTTAGCAAAGATAAAGATAATATACCTGCTTAGTTTGCTTTTAAAACAGCCTCAGAAATAGAAAGTATAGTGAGTCTCCATGGTTAATACAACTCAGTAAACAAGAATAAAACTGGATATCTGAAATACAATTCTAGTTCTGGGCTTTGCCAATAGCTTGCTCAATGATTCAGGAAAATACAGTAGTTTTCTCCTATACTTCAGTTTTTTACGTTGTGCTAAAATAGGGTTACCTGGGCTACACGTTTTTCTGTTGTTTTGTTTTGCTTTGTTTTTTTGAGACAGGGTCTTACTATGTAGTTGAGACTGACCTGGAACTCACTATGTAGTCCAGGCTGGTCTCGAACTCACAGCAATCCTCCTGCCTCAGTATCCCACGTCACCACACCTGGCTTACACATGGTTTTTATGAGAGAAGACAGAGAAAAAGAGGAAATGTAGGATCTTCTGAATTTTCCCAGTTAAAGATCTGTTCCACTGTGTCTCAACCTGAGAACAAAACACATAAAACAAATGGAGTGTTACTATTCTCTGCTTGTTTCAAAATAGGAGGTTGCAAAATCAAAGCCCTGGAGTCTACCAAAAAAAAAAAAATCTGGGTGTATACATTTGAGAGGAAAGACAAGAAGGAGGTTGCTCTTGAAGTCATGCTGAATACAAACAGCCAAGAACTGGGACAGGATTGCACAATTCACAAGGTGCTTTAGTTAGTTTTTCATGTACTTTGCAAAGTGATTCATTTCCTGTATTTGGTCAAGATAGGAAAAAGCTAGGCACATACAAATTTGATGTGGCTTTTCATTAGAACACTTTATCAGATAAGATAAAGATAGCATGATAGAGATGGAGAACATTTTAATGCTTAAGATCAAGGCCAGCTGGAGAAAATCATATAATCCAAAGGTGTCCATATTCCCAACCTACCTTTTTCAGGAAGTCTTTTCTCTTCCTCATTACTTTCCTGAAGTGCCAAGTGTTCTACTCAACCACAACTTTCTTCATAAGGGACTCTGATAAATATCCTCACACTGAGTTGAGCATTACTGTTAACTCTCCTGGTGGTACTGCATTTTAGCAGAATGAAGTGCAAGAAGTAAACCTCTAATTGTATCATTTCAGACAACATGAGTTAGGGAAGTACGTAGGGGAGATGAATGCAAAGGAGTAGGGAAGTGTCTGAATTTCCTGAAATTCTAGAGTGGGGAGCCCTTTTCCTAGGAATCGCTACACCAGTAGCCAGGCTTTATTTGAAGTCTGCTTTCAGTTGCCTGTTAGGTTTTAGAGATTGTCTAGAAATGCAAATTTTGGGGCAATGAATGGGCTTCAATATTTGGAAAAATGGGATGATCTTACACCTATGGAATTTTTTGGTTTGTTTTTGTTTTTCTTGGAATTACTTAGATAAGACTACAGCAACCTGAGTAGTTCCAGAAATAGCTAAAAATTAAATTACTGTTGACTGTAAGATAGGCAGTAGCTTTGGCCTCTTAATTCCAAGGCTGAAACAAGAGAGGCCCTTGCCTTAGGAAAGACAGGAATTTTTGCCACTCAATAAAACTTAAACATTGAAATGTTCTTTATCATAGTAGTCTTTGCAAAGTGATTTGTTACCTGTATTTTTACAACTATGAAGGCAAGATTTTTTATAAGTCATCTATCTTGGTCCTACTTTTGAAAGATTTTGCTGAAGGTTCTCAAGCTTTGGTATAGAATCTCATTTCAAAGTAAAGACTTTTTCCTATTAGATTATGTTGTTGCCTCCATCATATTTTGTTTTCTCATTATGAGCTTTCCAAAAATGTGATGTGATATGTTGTACTGATATTTGATTTGTGGTATGTTAAATCTATTGTTTGGTCCATTTTAGATGCAGTTGCCCTCTAGCCCCTTTATGCACAAGACAAGTAGGCAGAATATCTTGGACAAAAGTCCCAGTCAAAATGGAGCATCAGTCAAAAATACCAAAGCCAGTTCTTTTTGCAAGTTCGCTACTGATGTTTTAGAAAACACCAAATATATTATCTTCAATGCATAAAGTCTTATCCACTGTTTTCAGAATACCAAACACAATATTTACAGCATTCAGGACTTTTTATAACTTTGAATAACTCAAGGTCCCAATTAGCTTTTTGGCTTAATATATATATATATATACCAACTGGCAAATTTAAGGGATTCTTTGGATTTGATCAGGAATATTCGGAGAAATACACTAGAAAATTATTTTCTTATGTATGTTTCACCAAAAGCACCAGTGTCAGCCATTCTAGCCCAGGTTCTCTTACCCAGTTTATCTAAACTTTAGTTTCATTCTCTCCAATAAATACATGAAATTAAAACAACAACAGAGATAATAGTACTAATGTGTACCATTGAAGATAAACTCTAACTGACAGGAAAAAACCCTATGTGCAAATGCACATACTTACCAAAACATAGCTGTGGATAGGAGAATCTCCCACAGAGCAAGGAAAGGCACCCATCAAAGTGCCTTCTACTGATGCTCCTTCCAGATGAAAGGTTGAGAAGGAAACCAAAGCCAGAAAAACACACTTGAACTAACTTTATGCATACAATTAAGGAACTACTTACAAATACCAGGCTCCTTGGTTTTCAGACTAAATGCAATACCACGTGTGGGTGAAGAAAGCATTCAGTTCCCAGGTGATTCTGGACAATCTCACTACCTCCAATTTTGCAGCATCTGAGAATGCTCCTGACCCTCTCCCATGTCTCAAAGTTGTCAGAGAATTGGATGAGATAATGAACGTTGAAGTGCTGTACTACTAAAATACTTTAAAAATATGAGGAAGAATATTACATATGTATTGGAAATTCAGACACTTCCCTACTCCTTTGCATTCATCTCCCCTACATACTTCCCTAACTCAGGTTGTCTGAAATGATACAATTAGAGGTTTACTTCTTGCACTTCATTCTGCTAAAATGCAGTACCACCAGGAGAGTTAACAGTAATGCTCAACTTATGAAGAAGGTTGTGGTTGAGTAGAAAGAACACTTGGTGCTTCAGGAAAGTAATGAGGAAGAGAAAAGACTTCCTGAAAAAGGTAGGTTGGGAATATGGACACTTTTGGATTATATGATTTTCTCCAGCTGGCCTTGATCTTAAGCCTTAAAATGTTCTCCAACCCTATCATGCTCTTATACTATATTCAATCTGTTAACAAATTACTTTGGCTTTACTTTCAAGATTTATTCAGATCTCTGTCACTTTTCACCACATCCTTTGCCATTTTCCTTGTCTAAGTCACCATTATCTCTTGCCATAACCATGGCAATAGCCTCCTAACTTATCTGCGTATCTCTGTCTTGTATTCTCACTTCAAAATTCTATTGTTAATAAAGCAGCAAACCTGTCCTTTGAAATTTAAGGAGGAATAAAGACCTTCTAATATGAGCATAAACTAAAGAAATTCATAACCACTAAGTCAGTATTATAGAAGATAAAGAAATCCTACAGAGAAAAGAGGAAAAATAGATGAGTTATTGAGAAGTAGAAAAGAATAAGACATTAGAAAAAAAGAAAATGACAGGAATTAGTACATAGTGTATTAGTACTTTTAAAATTATAACTGTGAGTATAAATGATCTCAATTCTCTGAATAAAAGACAAAGACTGGCAGACTGAGTAAAAACCAAGACTCAACTATTTGCTGCTCTCAGGAAACTCACCTCACCAGCAATCACACAGACTGAGAGTGAAAAGATGGAAGACATATTTCACGCAAATGAAACCTGCAGGAGTAGCTATTCACATATCTGACAAAGCAAACTACAAGACAAAATCAGTCAGATGAGACAAAGAAGGCCACTATATATTGGTAAAAGGAATAATCAACCAAGAAGTTATAACAGTTATAAGTGTATATGCATTTATTTTATAAAACAAACACTACTCAATAAAAATGGTGTTATGAAAATTTCTCTCAAAAGCCTCATATATTTGGAAAGTTCTTTGATGATGGGGACACCATAGCTGACTTTTTATTAGGAGGTGGGGAATGGTTGGAGATGAGTCACTGGGATTGTGACTTGGAAAGATATACCCTTGTCCCTGGCTCCTCTTCTCCGATTTCCTCACCACCATGACATGAGAAGCTTTCTTCCACCAGACCTTTCCATGCCTTTCATGCCTTGGAACCAGAAAACTATGGGAAAATATTCTAAAAATCTGAGTCAAAATAATCCTCTCCTCCTTTAAGTTGTGGTGTTGGGTGTTTTGTCCCGTGACAAGGAAAGTGACTAAGAAACTGGCACCAGAAATGGGGTTATGGCTATGACTGCCTCCTGACCATATAGTTTAGAAGCCTTTGTAATTGGCTCATGGGAGGAATTCTGAATGATTGAGAAATGCCTAGTAGAAAAGCCCAAAAATGGTATAAGCCAAACTTGTTGGAAGATTCTAGTCAGCGTCCTAAAGATCAGAATGCTGAAAGAAAATCAGACAGTTAATACCTAGGGATCAATCTAACCAAGGAGGTCAAAGACATCTACAATGAAAATTTCAGAACACTGGAGAAAAAATTGAGGAAGACACCAGAAGATAAAAAAGTTCCCATGTTCATGGATTGGTGGATTAATATTGTCAAAATGGTAAAATTACCAAAAACAATCTACAGATTCAATGCAATCTCCATCAGAACACCAATGACAATTTTCATGGACCTAGAAAAATAGCCTATAATTTATATAGAGGCACAAGAGATCCAGAATAGCCAAAGCAATCCTAAGCAAAATGAGCAAGGCTGGAGGCATCACAATTCCTGATTTCAAATTATACTACAAAGCCATAATAACAAAAACAACATGGTACTGGCACAAAAATAGTCATGTAGAACAATGGAACAGAACAGAAGACACAGCAACCAACTGACACAGGTACAACTATCTGATTCTGGACAAGAGAGCCAAAAATATACACTGGAGAAAAGACAGCCTCTTTAACAAAGGGTTCTGGGAAAAATGGATGTGGCTGAAAAAGGAATCCTTCTACACTTCTTGTGGAAATATAAATTAGTATAACCTCTGTGGGAATCTTATGAATGTTCCTAAAAAATCTAAAAATAGAGCTACCATTTGATCCCGCAGTTGGTATATACTCATTCCTTGTTATAAACCTAAAGCAATTAAAAGCAGTATGCTATACTAAAATCAGTATACTATGCCTGCATACCCATGTTTATTGTGGCACAATTCACAATAGCTGAGATAAGGAGCCAGCCTAGTTACCTACCAAAAGACAAATGGATATGGAAAATTATAATACACACACACACACACACACACACACACACTGCCACAAGGAAGAATGAAATTCTGTCATTTGG